TTCTTCTCAAGATGCTTGCTTGCTGGCATCACGTTCAATGAGAGTCAAATAAATATTGTTTATACCGTCCTTAGTCTCAATAGAATAGTGTTTTCTACATTTGGGCGGGAGCATCTCCCGAGATACACTAGACTCGCACATATTTTGCATAATTCGGACACGATTCAACACACGCTGTATTACAGACGAAATAAGAATGATTACTAATAAACAAACTAAGTAGTATACCAAACCAAAGAGTATTAAACACAGAAACTTTGAGTAATAATCTTGTTGCATTGTATGTTAATGACCACCCTTGGATAATCCCATTCAAAAGCAATTGGTCACTTTCTTATATCTATGAACAGACCTTACCTGAACCTAATCAAAATGTTCCCTGCGGCAGGCTTGGAGGTTAAGCGTGTGCTCTGACACGTTCGTCTTTACAAATTTTTGTTGGGCGTTTAACAGCAAGGAATTGACAAAAAAAGAGCATTGTGCATTTTGTTTCATTTTCTGTAGTGCTCCTGCTGACCACTATGAAACTTTTGCAAAAAAAATGCACGCTGTATAAAGAGCCTTTCAAATGTGCATTCAACCTAACATCAAAGTCATGTCAAACTTTGGCGATATAAAAATTTGTACAAGCGATTTACAATTATATTTTCCAGGTATTTCGCGCACCCTGTATGATAAAGATAAAAATTGCTGCCTAAACGAAATTTCTCAATTTTTTACGGTTTTTCATTTAATAATGAAGCCATTTAAAAGTTAATTTTTAGTGACTTAGTTCTTTGCATACAATCGACATACTCTGTACAGGGTGGTCCAAATTCGAGGGGCCCCTATGGCTTTAAGCATTTGCAGCATAGTTAGCCCAAAACTAATATGCATGTGACGGGCTCGACTTTCGAGAGAAGTCGAAAACTTAAAACCGCATCGTGATATGTCAAAGCGTTTCCAAGCTAAAAGTAAAAAGCTAAAGCTAAAAATCTGCGCTTCTAAAAACCCGTTATAACTTTTTTATTTGTAAAGATAGAGATTTTTATTAAAAACCTTTTTTGAAGATTTTTTAAGGGCAAATCTACCTATTTCACCAATTTTGTCTTAAAGCCTTTAGTTCAAGAGATATAACACAAAGTTACATTTTTTTAAAATGGAATGCCCCATTTTTTTTTAATTAGTTTTCTAATAATATGAAAGAAGGCAACCTAGCTCAAAAATATTTTTAAAGTTAAAACGTCATCTACAAGAATACGGATCCTTTACAAAATCGAGGCTTTGGACGTATGGAAGACCAGCCAGAGTTAGAGAGTTGAAAGAACTAACGGAATACTAGAAGTTAAAGTGCGAGGTTACTGTGTCCCCTCGTGTCGTAGCCAACTTCATTTTGTATGACAAAAAAAAAACAATAAAATTTGATCTACATATTTAGGCTGCGTACGGCGCCTACTATGGTAAATATCAAAAATTGCAAACATCAACTATTTAATAAAAGTAGGTGTGTGGCACATCGTTCGACAGGAAATTTTATTATAAAACTGATTTTTCAGAAAAATTGGGGGTATCCCAACTAAAGAAATATAACTTTGTGTGATATCTCGGGAACTAAAGGCTCTAAGAAAAAAAAATACAATTAAAAAAGTTATAGAGGGCCTTTAAAATCGCACATTTTTGAGGATCACTCTGAAACTCAAAAACGACTTAACATATCACGATACGGTTTTAAGCTTTCGACTTCTCTCGAAAGTCGAGCCCGTCACATGCATATTAGTTTTGGGCTAACTATGCTGCAAATGCTAAAAGCCAAGAGGCCCCTTAATTGGCTTCATTATTAGTTAAATGAAAAACCGTAAAAAATTCAGAAATTTCGTTTAGGCGGCAATTTTTATCATACAAGGTGCGCGAAATACCTGAAAAATATAATTGGAAATCGCTAGTACAAATTTTTATATCGCCAAAGTTTGGGCTAACCATGCTGCTGTAACTATGCAGCCATAAAGGCCCCTCGAATTTGGACCACCCTGTACATAATCGAAAAAATCACCAAAATAAAAGTTTTAGTTCCAGCTCTCTAGCGTTTAATGGTCTAATAATATTTCCGATCAGGTGAATGGTTTTCGATAAAAAAAATCCGGGGCCCAAAATAACTCAAAAAAAGTTATTTTTTTAAATACCTCTTATGAAAGCCAGGTTTTGTAACATAGACCTTTCTGTGAAATTTCAAGTCGAAACATGCAAATTTTGGACAGATCTTTGATTTAGTGCGGCTCATCCAACACACCCTGTATAATGTGCAAAAACCATATTAACAAAAGTTGATACGGCCTATATAGACAAATGGAAGAAACCGCCAATCGAATCATTCCCCAAGATGGAACTAAATTTTCAATTTTTTGCCCATAATTGGCACACCCGGTAGATATTTCTGATATAGCCCATAGTCTCGTGTCGATACCTTGAACTTTCAAATAGTCACTTTAAAATCGGAAAAGAACAGGTGGTTATGCGATTCGACAGCGAGCGGAGAACAGTAAATAACACAAAATATGAAAACTCAATTTTTCGGCAACTCTCTGCAACATCCGAGATATGAAATTTTGTACTTTCGAAAAATTCCATTTAATCGATTTTTTAAAAGTAACAAAGTCTTTTTTCCAAAAAAAGTTCCATTTTATCAACCAAAATAATGTGTTCAACATATAAACATTAAAAGCCAGTAAACTAATAAAACAAAATATACTTTTCAACAACGCATGTGCATAGCAACTCACCGTTTACTATTTTTTGTGTTCTATCTGAACCGAACGCGCCCTGTATATACTTTAGCGCGACGAGACACGAAAACAAGGGGATTTATCTCGTGTTGATGGAGCGCAACTTGCCAAAACACAACCGCAGGCAGGTTGCACTTCCTTTGTTGATAAAATGTTATCGCAGTTGAGAAAAATCTTCGATAACGACATGCACGGTGGGTAGGTGCAGTATATGCTGCGGATATCAAGGTTGCGTCATTGGAGAATGTAGTGCTCGGGTTTTTGTAATGAATGGAAAGGCAATTCCAGTGCATATACTAAACCAGTAACTTTTAAAAGTAGCTCTAAATAATAATATAAAAAACAGTTATGAGTAGCCTAAACTTACAAAAAATATAAAAAAAAATAATGCAAAACTTCTATAAAAAAATGATAAAATAGAAAAAATGTGTTGTACACTTTTGGTAGGCAGGACTGCATAGAGCAAAACTCTAGAGACACAACACTTTGAAGATTCAATTATTGTACAGGAAAATGCTGATCATACAAAAACCAGAAAATAGAAACACTTTGACAGCTAATGAAATATAGTTTGCACTTTCGCAACTTACAAATAAATCGAGATCTTTTAATGTATGAAAATTGAAAATTAATAACGATGCTACTAGTGCTTATTCATTCAACATCAAATATTAAATATATTTAGTATTTATTTATGTAATATTTAGTGATGCAGCATTAGATTTAGAGTAAAATGACATCCTGTACTGTGGGCTAAACAATGAGTAGTCTCAGAGGTATAGTTAATTTGATGCGTTACAGAAAAATATGAATCAAATTGTAGCTGGTAGAATGACATCGGGATTCAGCTCTCCATATCGATTTTTTTTGGCGCCCTGGTCAATTTTTATTCAATTTTTTTTGGGAACAGTCGATCTGGAGGTATACGGTATACACGTAATGCATCGAAAACGACTGATGGCCAAATTTTATTTCGCTTATCACCACGAAAGGAGAAAGCTGACTGGTATAATCTTTGTGTCGAAACCCGTAGCCTGCGAAATCGTTTATAAACCGGGTGTCTCTTTCCAATAAATGAGAAACAAATGTCGCAAGTTACAAGTGTTTTTTTTTCCCTTTTTACCTGGGGTGACAATCTGGACACCAAATTTTGGAGAGTAAAATAATTGCTACAAAATAATTTTACTTGGTTGTTAAATGTTAAAAAGTTAAAAAAAAGCATGGAAAAGTTTGAAAACCAAAACATCCACCTTTTCGACTTAAGTAAATTAATGTTATACCAGGTCCCAACTACTTTATAGGACCAGTTTTATGGCTTATTAAAAATTCCTTTTCGCCGTTGCAGAACTTGATTTATAAAAACATTATTTAAAGAGATGTCTTAAAACTAATTTCACATTACCATGCAACTTTTTTTCCTCTTCAACTTGGCATATTAAGTCTCGTTTGTATTCTATCCTCATCGATTTATTTTCTTATATACGGACCTGGTCCTCAAAGAAAACAATTTTTTTTTAAACTAAGATAGATAATGGTTCTGGAACGAAACGTCGTAGATACAATCTAAATACATCTTATAAAAAACAATAAAACTTTCAATCTTGGGTTTTCTTCCTAAAATCAACCGATTTCGAAAGATTTAACAGAGTAATTTCGATTTTTATAAATCACCTTGTATTTCTGAAACAAACGGAAATTTGGAAAAGACAATAAGGCATTTTTAACACGTTTTAAAATAAACATCCTTTTTTCTATTTAACCGTAACCGTAACTTTAACCGTTCCGCTGCAGTCCCGATGGATTAGTTTGGACCAAGTATAGACCTTCACTACACTTGGACGAGAAAATTCTTGTCGCCGTATCGGTAGACCGATGAAATTCTCGTTCACTTGACCCGATTCGTGCAGGCCTATTGTTTTCTTCTTTAAGGTCTTGCGCAAGAGCTTATATGGAAAACTTCGGTGTCGACGTGATGGTCCTCTTAAACAGCCACGTACGCGCATCTAATTACCTGGGTTATACCAGCTATGGCGTTGTATACCAGATAAAGATATTAGTGAAATCATCTACCCCGGTACAAGTTTCTTCTTAAAATTCGTCGATGGAATTAAATTCTTTTTGGAATCTTTTGTTGATTTGCTATTTCCTTTGTAACCTGTTATTTGTTTCTCACCTATATATTGCTAGTTATAACTACTCCGACACATTCACCCCTAGCACTACCTTTTTCTATGGTTCCAGTCACCGACATGGAAGAACTGCCCGACATTAAACAAGAGCTTTGTGCCGCCGGTCAGAGCTACCAAAGCGACTCAGGCGTCTTCTCTGCCAACACGACTCAGGGCGACGCTGACGCCCGCAGCGACTGCAGCTCGCCCGAACGCAAGTACGTCTGTCCGATCTGCGATACCATTTTGGCGTCGCAGCACGACTTCACCCTCCACATCAGATCGCACAACAACGAATCCGAAGAGCAAAAGTCGTTCTCTTGCAAGATATGCCGCAAGGTGCTCAGCTCCAACTCTAGCCTCGACAGGCACGTGTTGGTTCACAGCGGCGAGAGACCTTTCCAGTGCAAGCACTGCGGCGACACATTCACCACCAACGGAAACATGCACCGGCACATGAGGACTCACTCGACCAAAGAGAACTACGAATCGGATGGCAGTACGACAGACAGCGGCAGCTCCAAGAGCACCGAGTTTAACAACAACAAAGTAGACACGAAATTCAACAACAAGAGGAAGCTGGACACGACCGATTACGTTACCAAAAGACGTGAAGCGCGTCGCGATGGCGAAGAAACGTCGCGATTCCAGTGCCCCGTGTGCGACAGGTCGGATTTCAGTACCGTCGGCAACTTGGATGCTCACCTGTAAGACAATCATCCAGAGTATCCGGCCAAATGCACCTTGTGCAAGCAAGTGTTCTCCAATAACAAACTGTTGATGGTCCACAAGGCGGCGGCTCATGAAACCAACCAGCCCAAACACCCATCTATACTCGGGTTCAAAGATTTGACCTTCGTTGATTTCTCCAGCAACAAGTTCCCTATCATCGCAAAGCACGAGTGCGAAACGAACCTCCATAAGGTGGCGGGAGGATTAAAGTTTCAATGCCGCAAATGCTCGCGAGCTTTTCCTTGCTCTGGAGATCCACGAGAACTCCTGCGCGGACGTGCAGGCTTTGAAATCGCACGACCAGAACATATCAGGTGCTGACATCAGATGCGCTGAGTTTTTGTCCAGGTTGAACTTGATGCAGGACGAGAAATTCGCAAAAGAAGACCCGATCAAACTCAGGGAACACCTCGCCAAAGCGATGGACAACACGAGAGACTTAGCCGACATCCAGTCGATCTTATCCAACATCAACCTGCAGAAGATGCACGCCAAACCGGCAGACCACAAACCCGCAGTCAAACCCAACGTCGAAGACTGCTCGAAGGGCGAACAGGACGACGAGTCGCAGGACTCATTCGCCATAGAGTTCAGGAAAATGAAGATGCGAGGCGAGTTCCCCTGTAGACTGTGTACCGCCGTGTTCCCGAACCTGCGCGCCCTCAAGGGCCACAACAGAGCCCATTTGAACGGTAACGCCAACGGCACGTACTTCTGCAACATGTGTCCTCACTCGTCCGTCGATAAGGCGGCGCTTATCAGGCACATGCGCACTCATAACGGCGACAGGCCCTACGAATGCTCACTTTGCAACTACGCATTCACGACCAAAGCGAACTGCGAGAGACACTTGAGGAATCGGCATTCCAAGACTACCCGCGAAGACGTAAAGAAATCGATTATTTACCACCCCTCCGAAGATCCGACCAACGACGATCTCAACAAGCTCAATGTCAAAGACGAACCGAAGAAAACGCCCACCCCATCGGGAGTTGACTTGAGCGACCTCAATCCTGTCAAGCTTCACTGTTCCACTCCCAAAACGGAGGCCAAGCCTGATTTTGCTTCACCCCCTTTGATTCCCGACCTACAGGCACTGCAACCTACCAGGTTTCCAGCAGCGGTGGACTTTATTCGTAACGAAAACATTCGATCGTTAAAGAGAGGCATCTCGAATTTCTTCCCCCAGCCATTCGGTCTCCTCCCCAAGCCCGAGAACCTAACACCAACCCTCCAGGTGAAAAAACTCGACCAGTTGCAAGACCAACCACGAGTATTCGAGCCTGAACCTTACCGGGAAGAACCGCCTGTGGTGGAAGAGGCCCTAGATTTAAGCAAGAAAAAAGTAGAGCTTGCGGACGTGGCCATGGACGTTCCTCAAGACCTGACCAAAAAGTCGTCGCCAGCATCGCCGAGATTTCCCATTAACGAGCTGCTGTTGAAATCGCCTCCACAGATTGACCCAGCCGCCCTTTATGCCACCCACCTAGCGCACCTCTACCGAAGCGGTTTTCCTGGATGGACGGGCTTTCCAGTCAACCCCCTGCTCTTCCCCGCCTTGCCTGGTCCTCAAGAGATCAAGGAGCGCATGCAACGGTTTCAATTGTGCGGAGGCAGCGTCATTGGCGAAGACTTTAAACCATTCCCGAATATTCCGCCTCCAACGGCCGACGTCACGGCTGCTAATTTGACCCGGGAACCAGAGATGAAACCTTTGAATCTAAACGTGGAGACCGGTTTCAGCGACAGCAGTCCGAGGCTTCAGAGTCCTGGTCAGCAGACGGTCAACGGAGACCCTATGCAGTCACCCAACTCGGTCAAAATGATAATCAAGAACGGCGTGTTAATGCCGAAACAGAAACAGAGGCGCTACCGGACGGAAAGACCGTTCACCTGCGAACATTGTTCAGCTAGATTCACGCTGCGCTCGAACATGGAGCGACACATCAAGCAGCAACACCCTCATTATTGGTCGCAAAGACAGAGAGGTAATATCGGCCACCCACCCAGGAAGATGGTGAGCGGTGTAGTGACGAAACCGACCTTTTGCGACTTGAACGTGCCCAGTTTCGAGATGCCGAAAGTGTACGACTACCAGGAGTCGAAGGAACAGATCAGCGAAAAGTTGAAGTACGCGATACTCGCGCAGCAGTTGCGCTCGAATCTTGGAGGAGGAGCGAAACCCATAGAGAACGGTAAGAAAGAGGAAGACGAAGACTGCGAATTGGTGATCGACGAGAACGATGATGTCAACGGCCAAAGGAGCGATCAAAAAGCAGTAGGAAAGGGAGAGGAGGACCTGGTACCGGTGTCGAGGTTGCTTGATAACGCGTCGCAGCAGCAGTTTAAACAGTTTTTTAAGCGGGATCCGGAAGACTCGGAGGTGGGGGCGAGCGAAGAAGACGAAGAGGGTTTAGTAGCGGGCGGCAGCACCAGCGAGGAGAACGTCTCCGGGACCGATGAAAACAAGTAAGTATTTCCTTCTATCGTTAAGTCAACACTTGTAAGATCTTGTATTCCTCAAACTTCTTGCAACACTAAAGAGTGAATTTGTGTGGTTGAACCATTAGCCTAAACCGGACACTCTTTCCAGATCGGAATCGGAAACTGCGGCAACCGCAGCACCGGCCAAGAAGAAATCCGCGTACTCTCTAGCTCCCAATCGAGTCAGCTGTCCGTATTGTAGCCGAAAATTCCCTTGGACCTCCTCTCTACGACGCCACATCCTCACCCACACCGGTCAGAAACCGTTCAAGTGCAGTCACTGCCCTCTCCTCTTCACCACCAAATCCAACTGCGACCGTCACCTGCTGCGAAAACACGGCAACACGGCAACCACCATCACCAACGAGGTGGCTGGCAACGCAGCGGCGGCAGCAGGCTACCTCATGCGGAACGTACCTGAGAGGCCGTTTAAGTGCTCCAGCTGCCCTAGCAGCACTTTCTCCACGTACTCCAACCTGAAAAAACACATCAACGGCAAACACTCGACCAATGCGCAAGGCGACGACATCAAAGCTCAGGGTTACGAAGCTGGCAGTTCTGAGGACGAGAAAGGAGGGACCCAAACTGAGACTAAAAACGAATGGGAAAACCAAATCGGATACGGCAGGTTCCCCGTCGAACCGCACGCAAACCAAACGCTCAACTCTGATCTGCCTTTTAAGTGTCATTTATGTGAAGGTTCGTTTGCCGAACGTCACGACGCTTTAGACCATACCAGGGACAAGCACGCTTCCGAATACGATCTGCTGATGTCCAAGAATGCGTTGGATACGAATGCGACTACACCAGATGATGCTGCCCACCATGACGACGACGACGACCAAGACGCTCGGGGCAAGTTCCCAGATTACAGTAACCGGAAAGCGCATGGTGTATGCGAAGGTTCTGGTCCGCAGAAGATCTGCGCAGACACATGCGCACACATACAGGTGAACGACCGTTCAGCTGCGACATCTGTAGGCGTAGGTTCACCCTGAAGCACAGTATGTTGAGGCATCGAAAGAAACACAACGTTAATGGAGGTCCGGATCAGGATGGAAACGGGAGCGAGGATGAAGGGATAGAGAAAAAGAACGGCGAAAAGACAGACGAGTCGGACGGGAACGAGGGTGATCTTATCAGTAACTTGTTGGGAATTAGGGACAGGTCGATCATAGATCGGGTGTTGGACGCGACTGCTGACGACGCAGCTAAACTGCTAGGCGTGAAACCCAACATTAAGTAACGCAGCAGGGTTGGGGGTATTTTTATTTCAATAAATTGAATGGGTTTTTGGTATTCGCCAAACGGAGCCGACACGAAGTCTGTAGAAACAGGACGATACAGGTGTGAGCGATGACCGTTACGCTATTATTTATTTCAGGGAGTTGGTTTGCCCGACCGAATATTGACACACAATTCTAATAGATTTCTCACTAGATACCAATATGTTCTACTTTTGCTCTAACGCCTTTAATATTTTAAAACAATAGATCAAATAGATCAAAAACTCCAAAAATAAAAACCGAAAACTTAACACAAAACATTAGTAAATAGTAGATGATTTATCTCAAAACACATATAAATGCTTTTGTAAACCGTAACCTCACTTACTGTTTGGTTAAAATGTTGGACGAGTCCAAGTTCTTCCACTTGATTCATATTCCACTGACTTGAACCTAATAATGGCAAAGTGCAATAGGTATCCTAATTGTAAACTAATTTATTAGACTGTTCCTGAAAAGCTGAAAGGTACAAATCCTCCTTACGGCTTCAAAGTAAACAAAAAAAAACAAGCTAAACGCTAAACGCTTGACAACTTGACAAAAATATTAAAAATTATCAACGATGCATATTCCATATTATGTTGTTGTTGTGTTTATGAAACATTGGGCTGCTCGCTTATTTATGCATATATTGTCGTTTTAAGTAAATTTCCAAATGGACAAGGACGAAACGACCCGAAATGCTTAAGTGAGGTTATAGTCACATTTTCACTAGGTTACACAGTAATTAAATCAAATCAACAGGTTCGCAAAAAACGTTTTCTCTCTGTGGTCCGCTACTGCCAAAGAGATTATCGAGTATCGATCCAGTTCACACTCTAAATATTTGCCACTTGCCTGGATCGCTCCGTCTGCGCCTCGGGACATCGTGTTGGCTTCCGTACTCGCGCAGAAAGGGAAAACAACCGAAAAGAATTGTGCCGATGGTAGCGTCACAAACGCCATTTATTTCGGACAGGTCAGAGCCGTGTTACGCATATATTTTCGAACTGCATAACGAAAATTATTCGGTTATTTTCTGTTTTATTTAAGGTGTAGGGTTTTACGTGAAGTAATGATATAAAATATCGATTTTCTCTAGTCAGGTTTATCCAATAATATAAGCATTCGATGCGAATGTTGCTATTTTATCTAACTTTTGTTATGACGTTTTTAATGACAAAATCAAAAATCGAGTGATTTAGAGTGTAGTAGACTAGTAGACAGTTTTACGTATATATCTGAGTATGTTATAAATTATTTTCCATTTTCGTTGTATTTTGTACATATATTAATTTAACAGAATACGGTCTAGGTATACCAAAAAGTAAATTATTCCACGGTTGTGCGGCGTTGCCGCATCGCGGTCGCCGAAAAACTGAAGATTTTGGGTGTGTACATAGATATTGTAGTGCATTCGCCTTATATCTTATAGAAAAATAATGTGTCTTACATTGTTGCCTCAAAGTTTATGTATATACACAGTTTACAAGCAATATATCTATTCTTTTAAATATATATTTATACATGAGGTTTCTCGAGCGTTCTAAATAATTAGCTTAAAAAGATTAAAACTGCACCTCGAATAATGTGTTATGAAAATTTGGAAATTTTATTCGTTTTTTTTTATTTCGTTTGTTTGGTAGGGTCGGACGATACTTTCAAGTGATTGTTTAATGATGCAATTATATTAATGTTCGCGTACATGTCGGGAGGGTAAAACATTTTTAGCGATGGCAACACTGTCGGCAGCTGTTGTCTGTTATTTAATTGCAAGCTTGTACAAAAAGCAATTATTTGCATCGTTAAACAAGTGTAGATAAATTTAGTGTTAAGTTGTTTCAAATCGGTAAAGTAATTCAATAATTTGAAACATTTTTTTGCTTCGAATTCTCTATAAAAGCTAGACGTAAGGTTTTTCTTTTTGTTTGCACATTGTATAATGTATTTTTCACACATGTTCACACCGCGTGTCTTATTACGAGCTTTTGATGAAAACCCCTTATTTCCGCGTGGAAGGTTTCTTCGGATGAAAAGCTATTTTTAGAGTCTTTGAAGCAATAAAGTATGTTAGATTCGTAAGAGGTTATCGTTAGATTAATCGCGGGTATTTCCCTGACCATCATGTTTGTATCATTGTAAATTATTGTCTATGCCATATTACGATGTACTTAAGTTGTTTGGTTTGAAATGTGCACCCGGAAAATTGTCATTTGTTATGTACCTTTTCTTTTACGCTATTTAAATAAATTGTCATATAAAATAAACCTGTTTGCTTTTTTTTCCTAGCTTCTAAAAATACTGCAAAGTTTAAACGAGGTTTAACTTTAAAACAGATCGACCAAGCCGTCCATGGCCGTTACTATAATGAATGTTGACACACTGCAGATAAACATTTGACATCTTAGCAAAAAGTTTTAGGTTATAAGTTAAACGGTTGTTTGCATAAAGTTTATTTGAGGTAAAAATGCCGAGAAGTACTCTGATTGATTTAGATGTTGACAAATTGTTTGAGGAGAAAAGTGTAGATGAAATTATAGAGATAGAAAAATTAATAAATGGGGAAATTGACAAAAAACGATCAGAACTTCGGTCTATGGTGGGGTAAGTAACGGGTATCGCTGTTGTGGCAAATCTAACGAAAAACTGTCATGAAGGGATCGCTATAAAGACATACTAGCCGCCTCAGATGCCATAAAGTCAATGAAAACTATATCCGAAGACATTGTTAAAACTATTGACCAAATTACGAATACATGCAAAATATTAATAACAGCACCGGATTCACCTAAAACAAATGCTACACGTGATACTATCCTTCTCAAGTAGGTGAGTAAATGAGCTTAGGACTTTATATAAAGATGTCGCAATTTTGCAGAAGAAAGAATGAAGAGCGTACTTTGATAATTCAGCTGAGATTAGCAATTTCTCTTAATGAACAAATATGGATCGCTATTGAAGAAGAAGACAATTTAATCGCAGCACAACATTGCTTGTTGGCCCAACATATCTACATGGGTATAAATATTTAACTAGCAAATACACATATAAATAGTTATTCCTGCAGGTCTGGACTTAACTGATTGGAGGTACTTAACGAATATACATTTATTGGAACATTTGAAGCAAAATTTGTCTAGTCTTAAGTCCAAAGTTTTCCGAAACATCTCTGAAAAGTTAGAATATATGGAAATCAACTCAGATGTGAATTGATATCTGTCAATGTGGGTTCGCTATTACCAAATTGGATGTTTTAGGAAGCCAGTAAAAATTTGAATGCCCTAATGCTTTTGGAGAATCAAACGGGGCTCAAAATACTGGAGAAATGTATTGAACATCGAAAGGCAGCATTGGATGGTGTTATTTCGTCCCAACATCCTAGTATAAGATTGTTAGTTATGGCAGTGATTAGGTGTTTACTTACGAGTGTCATATTATTCCATGACTGCTTTATTAGTAATCAGTTCAAGTGAATCGTTGAACATTAGTGGTATTGTTTTTGTTTTTAGAGGCTAAAGAAGGCAAAACGCAGAATAACGAGGACTACTTAAATATTCAAATGCCAGTTACCCCTTTGCTCTCCTATATCCCAGATGTGGTGAGGCAATACAGGTATTTATTTTCAAAGGTCCATGTCAAGTCCATCGAGTAAACTCCTTTTAGACCTCAATCCCCAGTTTTACAAGTGGATAAATTGAATGCCAAAGGCTTGGTTAATAATTGGCTACTCTGTGTGAAGCAATCAGTAGAGGAGGGATTAAAAAAATCTCTGCAATCTGTAACTACTGTCAAGGCTTTGCAGCTGATTCGTGAGGAGTATAATAAAATTAGTAATTCCATATAAATATGGGAGCTTCTTTGTATTTACTATAATTTTCTAGAGATGCCTGAGAACTGGATTCAAATTTGTGTGGATTTGCACTTTCCAGAAAGCTTTGACATGTGGCAGTACTTTTTACAAGATTTGTTGACCTCCAAAGCCAAAAGCCTTATCTCCAGTATAATTTCGCGCAACACAGAAGAGATTAAAAGTGATGTTACTGCGGTGCTTCAAAAAATTGCTAAAACTAAGGATTTTGAGGTTGATTTAAGAAGTTACGCCTGGACTGAGGAGCATTCGGATGTTGATAAAGCAGATCCAAGTCACACAGGTACTTTTTTCTTAGTACACTTGCACTTTTATTTATGTGTAATTTCCGATTTGACAGGTTTAACTATGAAAACCAAAGGGTTTTCCCAAAACCTCATAAATCTCTGTGGGACAGTCGACTCAAAATATTTAGCACTGCTAAAAGATGTTTCGCCATATTTGTATGGTGTTGAAGTGCCTGATAGTTCCAGTAATGGACTTGTCGCCACCGGTAAATGTAGGAAATATGTTGATGGTGCCCAATTGGAAAATCATTTAGCAGAGGAATGCATAAGTTACTCACTACGGTAAGTGAATTTCGAAAATATTAAATTTGTGTGTAAGTGGAGAAGTGTTTTCTTTATGACAAAAATTCAATGAAATGAATGATGTTATATAAACACTATTATTCATATATAAATCTTACAAAATGGAAATAGCGAAGTCTTAAACTCCATCATATTTTGTAAAAGAACATTGCAACGCCCAAAGCACTGACTAGAAATAGGTTTTGCCTGATTTTATAATTTGAAAAGCACTAGATAAGATAAGTGCTTTTGTAAATAGTTACTCCGCATTTGTCATAAAAAGCATGAAAATTTTATAAGACAGTAGCATAGCTTTATAAAATAAGGAATAAATATAATTGTTGCATTTCATAAAACTTGTATGTTGTATTTTTTTACTTGTGGAAAAGCGGCAGCTTTGTTCAAAAGGGAGGGAGCCTGAAAGTTTGCTAAAAAATGCGGATGACTCCTACCTAAATTGGAAGAATTAGCAAGGTACTAATCCATCCCACAACCTTCGGCAGTTGGGCCGCATCTGGCACTGGGAGACATAAGGGGAACGCGCAAAATTTAACACAAAACCAGAGAGACACAAGCGTTATTGCCTGATTTTTCTACTTAAGTTTGTAAATAAAGTCATAGACATGGAAAAACTACGAAAAACCTTTAACGAGTTCTTGTAAACCGCCGTTGTTTTGTTAGTATAATCAACGTCACGTGATTGGTATAACCAATGGGTTAGGCGGTTATCAATACCAATGAAATAAGTAGACATAGGGAACCTTTTCCTAAATTGGACTGAGGTGGCTTTTATTTGATGAAAATTCATTTAACACAATTAAATTAAAACAAAAAATGTTCAGATTTTCAGTTATTTAATGATAGTTAGAATCCGAACTTTTATTTTTATACGCCCTTTTATGTTCGTTAATGCGTTTCTTAAATCTTCTACCCGTTTGTCCGATATAAATTTTGGGACAGGATCCATATTTCAACTTGTAGACTCCAAATTTTTGAGTTTTTCGGAATTTAGTTTTGTTTTTTAAAAAATGTTCTATGGTGTTTTCAGTTTCAAAAGCAATCTTAAGACAGAATTTAGATAGATGTTTCGAAATTTTCTTGCTAGGCTCTCCTACATATTTTATTGTTTTGGGTTCGATGCGTAATATGGGATAGATAGAGTTCAGAAACTGCTTT